AATTGGGTAGTTTTGTTTAGGCATCTACTTGAACACTTGTTACCGGCTTTGGAACTCTACATTTAGCCCAATATTTCTTCGAAATGTGAATAAGAACAACATAGAAGAGACTACGAATGTGACTAGGACCTTCATAACAAGGTTAATTTATATACCTACAATAAGCTTATCAACGAATTTTTTGATAATTTTCATACTCTATAAACGTCTCAGAATATGGCAAGTAAAGAAACGCAGTAAGCATTTACCCGGTAACAGCTTGATGCAAACAAGTTTGAATAAGATGACATGTTCACATTTATTTAGTATTATACACTTACAATAGTAAATGTACTGTATTTCATGGGTTCTCGTAATAATGAGAAGACGAAGAGCAAGCTATGTGATGAAAAATGATTCACATCACAGCACACATGAACTACTCAGCAGTAGTAAGTGATATAATGGAGTACACAGAAAGATGAAGGAGTGAGATAAATGAAGTTTGAATGGGTGAATTGGAGGTGAGGGTCATTGCTGATCGGTACCATTGGTTCAAGTAAGTATGTAAAATAAATGGCCGCTTTAATAACAGTATATTCAGGCGTACAATATTGTTCTCAATTAGATACTCATCAGGCTCATTCTAATATACTGTAATATTTATATTCACATACGAAATGATAACACTAATGAAGTCAGTTGAGTCAATGATAACAGTGGAATAAATGATAAAATTGTACAATACAAATGAGAAGCACAAATTGAGTGATGAAAGGTGTAGCAGTTGTGATACGAATATTGTAGGTTTGAATCCATGATTCATAATAGGAAGTTTGTGAGTGACTTGAAAAATGTACAAACTGAAATAACCATGAGATTAACTAACCAGAAGTGCTCTGGTAATTGGAAGACGAAGTATGTGTTTGGAAGTGTAGGATGTGGCAGGTAATGGAAGAGTAAACGAATGTAGATTGTGGAAAGTAATAATGGCAATAATTCTGGAAAAGAAGAGTCTTAGGATCTTTGGGAAGAACATCCAATTCGGCTGGAATTCGTTTTATCTCTTGTAGTCAGCCCATGATCGGAAGTTATGTGAATGATACATTCTTATTTCAGGCAAGACCAATTTACATATTCCAATCTACATGCCCACTCGTAGCTTGAAATCTCGGGCGCACAAAAGGAGCTCTCTCGAAATGCATCTGTGAATATTCCTCCGTGTGACTTTCCAGAGGATTGAAGAAGTCAGTTTAAAGCTCAACGTTGGACAATCTGGTCAAGTTCTAATCATTTCAATCGACTAGAAGCCTCCCTAAAAATCATGTTCACAGTCCGGTAATTCGAGGCCGGTATGGATGAAAATAAAGAGCGTATGTACAGAAGAGGCGATTGCTGTCCAGCAGATCAAGCCTTAACTTTGCATACAGAACAATATGTTCAATCTCTCATTGCTCCTTGATCATAAACGTCATTATTTTCGTGGTCTAACTTTTATACATTACAAGAGAATGGTTTAAATTTGAATGTAAGAATACACCAAGTCACAAATGAGAAGACAAAAAACAGGTGAAAAGGAATGCTATTTCAAGCAGTGCTAATTGTGATACAATACTGTCAGATATTTATAGTTTTTTCTAAAAAACGAAATCATCATTATAGTTCTCCTATCCACATACAGGGGTTGTTTACATTTGTCCATTAGGAAAGCTACACGTAAGGATTCTGAGATATTCTCTCAGAAGATGAGTGGATGTAAGGTCTTCAGCTGTTTCTGAGTTTCGTAGAGCTTCCTCAACTTCATAATAAAGTAGAAGAGTACATGATTTGTCATCATAATTGTTTCTGAACAACATTTAGTATGGACAGGTTTGACTTAACCTGATTCACCATGCACAACGGTCTCTAATTCCGTCTCATCGTCAATGTGCGAACAGAATTTACGACTCAATATCCTGATGATGATTCCCATAACCACAATACACGCTTCACGATTGAACCACATTGTCTCAAAACCAAGAAAATCAATCACAGTAATCCATCAAGCATATGAATCCTCATCTTGTGCCGCTTAAAAAAGACCACTTTATGTGGCTTTTTATGATGCTCGAAGAATCACAACTGTCAAAGAAATTGTGTTGAATGTCATCATAGGTTGAACGTGATAGTGTTCAGTCTACAAATATGCAACTCTATTCATGTAGATTGAGTGGAACACGCAAATCAATGTTATCCTCAAACCCTTGTCCAGAAACACATTCACTAGTTCAAACACACATATGCTAATGTAAAACCACTTAATTCAACTTATAGTCCCTACTGCGAAACACAACATGATTTACATAATGCATTGATCCCATACACATGACCATTATGAAGATCTTTTGGAAGTTATGTAGTGTTAAAAAGAAGAGCTCCAAAACTCCACCATCAACATCCATAAGAATAGAAATATTTTCACAATCCTACAAAGATCGTTCCGACGTTTGTCAACGTGCAAATGCTCTCAGTATATGTAATCACAATAACGACAATAATACAAATTGTGGCAACAGAGATTTATGTGAGAATATGTCTTTATTCATTGAGAAATGAGCTGGAAACATGTCAATCCTTGAATAAATTCTAATGTGACAACTTGTGAATCAGTCAAAATACTTGATGTTTAAGTCAGAATCTGTTTCATGAATTATAATTTTATCAGTCTGTTACATATGTCTTTCGTGATTGAGAAATGAGCTGGAAACGTGGAAATAGGAGATAATTAACTTTAATTGATTGACAAATGCAGATGAACCACTGTGCTTATAGTGATAGTACAAGACAAAATATCACAACACGAACTCGACTATTACAGATGCACGGTGGAAAAAAATAAAACGATCAAGATCAGATCACATGTTTGCTTATATTGGATGTGGTCAAACATCAGTGTATTTGAATGTTTCATGCAAGCCACTGGATTACTCCAAAGTGTAGATATAGTCGACCGGGATTGTGTCAAGTTGTTGATGGCAACCTGTGTTCTACTCATATGTTTCATGGGTGTACTTTGCGGCACTAAGAGTTGTGTCTGACGATTTCTATTAAGGAAAGATGATGGTTCGGAACTACATTTATCAATATTGTAAACATCTATTATTATAGCGCCTATTTTGCATTGAAGTCGTTCCGCCATACAAATCGGATAGTGAATAGTATCTCGTTTTTAATGACAGATAGAACAGCTTTAAATTGAAAGAACTTCAGATCGAGGGAATTTCGTGGGTGTCATACCAAGGTTGAACACTATATATTTCGTCATCACAGTTGTTTGTGAATAAAATTTAGTATGTTCAGGTTTCACTTGAAATAGATCATTATACACAACGTTTTATAACTCCGCTTCATCAATGATGTACGAACAGACTTTTTAATTCGTTGTCGTACAAATATGCAACTATAATCATGTAGATTGAGTAGAACACGCAAATCAATGTCATCCTCAAATTCTTCTCAAAAATATCATTCATTCCTAAATATTCACACTCACACCAAAATTTCACCACTTATTTCAACTTATAGTCCCCACTGCAAAACATAACACAATTTACATAATCCATTAATCCCAAACACATGACCATTATGAAGAATAGTGGTACGACCCGTCATATTCTGTTTCTGTCCTCATGAGGTTATATGAAAACGGACAATCGACGTGCGTATGGACTTGTTTGTATGCGCAGATTGAAGAACTCGTTGGAGCATGAAGTGGCTTCAGTATTCATATGAGATCCACGTGCACTGTCATGTATGTTTGTTTGCCTTCTACAAAATATTCATTTTCAAAGCTCTTATCTGGTTGGTCATTTCTAGTTCATTCTCATACTGTGCCCATATTTATTGTAGTATAAATACGAATCGGTTTTTAATTCAGTCAACTGGGTAATTCTTATGAAATGTAAGTTTTGGTTAGTAATTGTATAATGGCCTATACATATTATTTTGATAAGCGTCCTACACTTGACATTGATGAGTTCCACTTCTCATAAATGTTCACGAGAAATCATGAAATGGCATCAGAAAGCTAGTCACATTCTCACATGTGACGCAATATCGTAAGTTCCATTTTGTGTGGCTAGGTCGTAGATGCAAATGAATGCTGAATATTCTCGAGTTAAGACAAAATAATGAAATAGTGATCCCCGGTTTTCGGAAGTGATCTGTCTCAGATCATTTCGTGGGTTTGACTGAAAATTTTAAAATCTCTATTGAGCTCTGTACTGATAAGTTTTGATGAAGAGACAGATAAGTCAGGAGTGTGCCGACTAAGTTCTCAATGTGCTTGCCATATTCAGATTAATGCTTACAATAGTGTTGATATCAGTGATCATAAAACTTATTGGATAATAATAAAAATGGTTTTGAATGGGATCGTGAATGTGTAATGTTGAGGAGTCTTATACTAGGCGGAACGGTCGTCCAATGCTTCCACGTTTGCAATGCTGATCTAGTTTAGATGGACTCGTGAATTCATCTGTTAGAATAAATTTGTGTTATGAAATACAAATGCTCGGCATGAATGACGATGGGAAGGATAAGTTCACAGTTGGGGTTCTCTTGTTCCACTGAATTCAACGCTTTCATAGATGTTCTGAATTTCTCTGGGTTATATTCGCACTGAGTGCGACATACCGAAGTTGTGAGTAAACGAAGAGTTCATACGTCTCCGATCGAATCATTTGTAGGAGTGTTCAATTGAGGTGTCGCAACTTGAACGACAAATGAGATTATGACCGTTGATTAGTGACGTTTTTGGTGTACACATTCGAGATTCATGTTTTCAACCTTGTGAATTGAATGGCATACGCGAATGTGATGCGTGTTGAAAGAGTTCGCATATCAAAGGACATTGTTTTGATGAAATGAATTTGTTGATTTTGTTTCGATAAATCGATATTTGACGTTGTTATACATCTCAATGAAATTACACTTCAGTCAATTCTCGATTAATAACTCATCATTTTTACTATTTAGCTGGCATGTTTACAGTGTTAACGATAGTTTCGGGAGCAGTCATCCTCACTCTGAATTGTGTGATGTGTCTGGACAATGGGTTGGCTAGAACACCACCAATGGGATGGAACACATGGCAAGTATTCGGCTGTCAGTTGAATTGTCAGAGGTATCCAAACAACTGTCTTAATGAGGATGCAATCAAACGAACAGCCGATAAACTGGTATCGGATGGTTGGCGAGATTTGGGTTATAAATATGTGATACTTGATGATTGTTGGTTAGCAACACAACGTGATCCGATAACGAATAGAATTATGGCAGATCCTTCAAGATTTCCGAGCGTAAGTTCGTGCGTGTAGTGTCTGGAAAATGTGCACAATTTTCTCATTTATTTTGAGCAATATCGGATTATCGAAAATATATTAGCTTTGTGTTTGTTTGGCCTCTAATATAATGATATCCTAATGTGGTTGTGAATGATGTAGAGTTTTCGTTAAAATAATCATTGATATTTGCAAATTCTGTTCGCTAATCTCTATGATGCGTTGCACTTCCAGGGTATGAAAGGCCTTGGACAATATTTACATTCGAAAAATCTACTGTTCGGAGTAACTATTGGTTATGGAACTCTGACTTGTTCAGGTTATCCAGGTAGCATGAACTTTCTCGAATTGGATGCAAAGACTATGGCTGACTGGGAAGTGGATTACGTGAAGATGAACTCTTGTATCGGTCGTGATCACGTGAAGCCTGATGGTTTTGGAAAATTCTCCCGACTACTTAATGGAACTGGAAGACCTATGGCGTTCTTGTGTACTTATCCTCTATATGAAACAAGATATACAAAACATATATCGGTTGACTGGAAGCGATTACAAAACAACTGCAATCTAGTTCGCGCTCTGCCCAATATTTATAGTAGTTGGGGATCTGTATTCAATATTATAGATGAATATAAACTTCGCAACAATATTTTGCCGAAAGTGGCTGGTCCCGGACATTACAACGATCCCGATATGTTAGTCTTGGGAAACAACGGACTTTCGAATGATCAAAAGCGAGCCCATATGGGCATGTGGTGTATGTTCGCTGCTCCACTACTGATCTCAGCTGACATGGACAAGGTGGATGAATTCAGTGCATCTCTGTTACGTAACAAACATTTGTTGGCGATAGATCAGGATAAAGGTGGACATCAGGCGGAATTCGTGAAATCACGAAATGATGTACAGGTGAGTTGATGCGTTAGATTGGAATTCTTATACATAAGTCTTGAGATACTTTCCTTTCTGTCTCAATACCACGAAACTTCACTTTAACCTTATCAAAGTAATTGATGTCTATGTGTAAGATGTTTGTCAGTTGAATCGGTTTCATCAACCTGTTGATCCTGTCATATTTAATGTACAGCAAACCAGCATGTGAATATACATTGTTTGTGGAGTTGGTGATAGTGTCGCTCCAAGTATTTCAATGTAATGAGAACGACCTAAATCACTGAATCGGTAATATTTTCAGTAGTCATCATTGCTTCTTTCTAGTGTAATCACAAAATCCTGACGGCTGTCTTCGAAAACCGATGTTCCGATTCAGCCCTTTAAATCAACACGAAAGTAATAAGCTGTTTTAAATTTGATATGACCGGTTCAATACATTTCAATCTATGTTTCTTCACTAACTCCGCCTGTAGCTCTTGTAAAGTTACTGTCGTTCCCAAGCCCTGGTAAATGAGGAGGGTTGTGCATAAGGTTAGCAACTCTATCCCATAGAAAACTAACTCGCTAATGAACGCTCACTATAAAAGATAATTCATACCACCTAAACTCTGCCCTGGGAGTTAGAAGGTCTTCCTTTAGAAGAATCATAATGCTTCATGGTGAAAGCCGAGTTTCTTCGGATGCTACGAGGCCGGTGCCCTTTCTATTGACCAGAGCAATAATTTTTATAGGCACATGGAACGTCCGAACAATGTGGGAGACCGAGAAGACCAGTCAAATAGCAACGGAAATGAGGAGATACAACTTGGCAGTACTGGGAATCAGTGAAACCCATTGAACCCAAGCTGGACAACAAAGGTTGAATACGGGAGAGATGCTGCTATACTCCGATCACGGACAGGAAAATGCTCCACACACTCAGGAAAGTGCTCTAGTGCTGTCCAAAGTAGCACGAAATGCACTCGTAGGATGAGAATCTCACGGATCCAGAATCATCAAAGCACCATTCAAAACAAAGAAGGAGGGAATCACAATGAATATTATCCAATGTTATGCACCCACCAATGATAGCAACGACGACATTAAAGATCAATTCTATGAGGCGCTGCAATCAATCATAGAGAACTGCCCAAGCAAGGACCTTAATATTCTGATGGCAGATCTAAACTCCAAAGTCGGAATAGACAACACCGGATATGAATATACCATGGGACGACATGGACTGGGAGAGAGAAACGAAAATGGAGAAAGATTTGCAAATCTGTATGCATTCGACAAATTGGTCATAGGCAGCACAATATTTCTACACAAACGTATACACAAAGCAACATGGATCTCATCGGACCATACCACAGAGAACCAGATAGATCATATCTGCATCAATAAAAAATTCCGAAGGACAATGGAAGATGTGAGAACCAGGAGAGGTGACACAGCTTCAGATCACCATCTAGTTGTGGCTAATTTAAAACTGAAGCTAAAGAAAAACTGGACAAACAGCACTGCAAAAGTTCAATACACTCTTCCTTCAAGATACTCACAAACTCAATGAATTCAAGATAGCTATCAACAACAGGTTCCAAGCCTTACAGGATCTACTGAAAGAAGAAGAAACTACTATGGAGGACAACTCGGAAAGTATCAAAGAAGCATTAATTTCAACGTGTCAAGAGGTTCTGGCCCTCGAGAAGCATTATCATAAGGAATCGATCTCTATAGAAACACTGGACAGGATCAAAGAAAGGAAGAACAAGAAGACAGCAATTAACAACAGCCGAACACGAGCAGAGAAAGTCCAAGCACAAGCTGAGTACATAGAAGCAAACAAGCAAGTGAAGAAGAGCACTAGAGCCGACAAGCAGAAATACATGGAAGAACTAGCATCGATGGCGAAAAAAGCTGCAAGAGAAGGAAATATGAAACAGCTTTACGATACAACGAAGAGACTAGCAGGGAAATATAGTAAACCAGAGAGACCGGTCAAAGACAAAGAAGGCAGGCCAATCACTGAAATTCAACAACAGAAGAACAGATGGGTAAGGTACTTCGAGGAATTCCTGAATAGGCCGACTCCAATGAATCCACCAGACATCGAAGCAGCACACACAGATCTTCCTCCAGGTGTCAATCCACCAACGACGGAAGAAATCAGACCGGCCATCTGACAAATCAAGAGCGGGAAGGCATCAGGATCCAACAACATACCAGCTGAAGCACTGAAGTCAGAGGATCAGATACAAACGTAAAGGCGAGGATTGACAAAGTAAGGGTCGCATTTCTACAATTGAAGAACATATGGAACTCAAAACAACTTTCAACTAATATCAGAGTGAGACTTTTCAATGCGAACGTCGAGGTAGTTCTACTGTACGGAGCTGAAACTGGGAGAATTACTACAACCATCATCAAACATGTACAAGTATTCATAAATATCTGTCTACTCAAGATACTCAACATCAATTGGCCGGATATCATCAGCAACAGCCTTCTGTGGGAGAGAACAAACCAGCTTCCAGCTAAAGAGGAAATTAGGAAAAGACGATAGAAATGGATAGGACATACATTACGCAAGCCCTAAATTGGAATCCTGAAGAAAAGCGGAAAAGAGGAAAGCCAAAGAACACATTACGTCTGGAAATAGAATCCTATATGAGAAGGATGAATGACAAATGGAAAGAGCTGGAAAGGATGTCCCAGGACATGCTTGGACAGAGAATGCTGGTGAGCGGCCTATGCTCCTTCACGAAGAGTACCAGGTGTAAGTAAGTAAGATCTTCACCGATTTTTAGCTTCAGATTCTCGTTCGAATGTGTTGAGATATTTTTCGCTCTGTTGTACTGTCACAGCAAGTGAGATCGTTATTGAACTATGCAATATGAAAACATATTCATGGCTTTCCTTCTGAATAACTTCAACCACATATAGTCGGAATCAGGACATTGTGATTTACGGATACGTAGGCTGTTTGGCGAGCTGTGACGCTTACAATAGATTAGGCAATATAATATGACCTCCCATTATTTTATCGGATAATGTATTCACTGTTAATTGGACATAGTCAACAACATCTTTTGCGGAAGACAATTCAATATGAGCCTATCTGATATACTGGCAAACATTCTCATTTGATAATGTAGATGACTGTTCATCTGACTCTATCCAAAACACTATGCAGATTCCAAATCGCAGGACACTACTCTTTCGGTTCTCTAATATTTCTTTCTACTTCTTACTATTGGCAAATATCACGGGATGAAATAAATAATTGTTATTTGCCGATGTAATTAATATCAGCAAGATACCTACATCTGTTCACAAATTTCTTTTCATAAAGTTGTGGATACGAAAATTAGATAATCGTCCAAATGGTTGGGCAATCGCTTGCATCTACACAAACGTTGATGGAGGACCAATCAACTTCAGCACAAATCTTGATGAATTCAAATCACAGATGTATACAATATCAGGAGATAAGTTTGAATTACTGGATGTATTCACAGGCGATATATTCAAAGACGTACAATTGACAGAGAACTTTACGATTTCGATCAATCCATCTGGAATTATGATGTTTCGAGTAAATCCATACAAATCGGTTTATTCTTACCAATAAATTGATGGATGTTTCCGTTGTGTGGATTCTGTTAACTTCAGTTCATTTCATATTAGTTCTGTGATTTTGGCTGAACAGTTACTGGATGTGTCATTAGTGAATAATTATTCATGGGATAATGGTAATAAAGTTTATCAATTCAAACTGATTTCATTCAAGAATACTTTGTTTGTTCTTTCTTGTTTGATTATAAAATAATTTTGAGTAATTGGGAGATAGAGAACTTGTAATAATCAGAGGCAATTCGCGCATACTGCACATAAACACATTAGAGACTGATCAATTGCAATCCCAAACATCAATGAGAAGACTCAAATTAACAAGAGCAAGTGAATTTAAACTTCTCCCGATTACACAGGTAAATGTCTGTCAGGACTCAGTATGTAAGTGAGTAACGCGACGGCGTTTGAAGCGAAAGGCAGTGATTTCGAATCCTGAAGTGGACAAAGCTACGGTATGAAGGTACACTCGACTGACGAGTCTCGATGAGGATGATACACTCGTTCTGGATTCTATTGCTAGCCACCATGTTGCATTATTTTCACAATCTTTTTATCACAACAAAAGTATCACCTCATCTGAATTTGTGGGTTATTTTCATTTGCGTAAATATTCGATTCTATGTATGCCATAAAGAGGTTGGCTACAATTGGCGACACGAAGGATCCCACTGCCACATAGTTGGTTTGTTTGTATACTATCCCGTTAAAAGCATGTAGTGTCGAATTTAGGCATAGTTTTAAGGATTTTATGATCAGGCTAATGCTTGATGGATATCTGTCAGAAATAGTATTGTCGTCGTCTAGTAAACCACTGATGAATCCTAAGCATCTATCAATAGGAATACTACTGTATTATGTTACAACACCATAGCTTACCATGATTTCATTCTTTCCGATGGTTAATTCCTATATTTTTGATTTAAATTCATTGGGCGACTCTTTAGTTAAATTATGTAAGTTAACTAGTAGTGCTCAATTTATTCGAAATTATCAAGTCAAACCTTGGTAATGATACCTATAGTCTGACAAAGTTCGTCCATGAGATTACTGAAATACAGTCGTTAATGTCATTGAAGTTTCTTCCGCAATTGAACTCCAAACGACATCAACCTGCTAACCGCGTGTATATTCGTAGTCTCATTCTTCAAACGTTGTGACAAGTCGACTTGAGAATGTTCAACGTCCAAGATACCAGTCACTTTGATAATGTGTCTATCGCTATAATTAATTAGGTGTCCGGAACACACTAGAACTGATAAGAGAGGAAAATAATCGATGACAAATAAAATCGTGAGCCTATCCAAGTGAATGATTGTCGGTGTTTATTACTGGTAATAGAATAAATAGAGATTGAGGAAACAAACTTGCGTTCAGTCAAAATGACACGTTCCTACAAATACTGGATCAAGTGTCTGAATAACGGTTGACAGATAGTAAAAATTTAATACGGTTTTCTTGACCTCGCAAAATGATCTGACAAAATAAGTCGTACTATTAAAATGTTGACAAAGGCTTACAATAACAATCCTTCTTCATAACATTGATGTGTTTTTCGATGTTCACGTTAAAAAATGCTAATCTGCATTGAATATACGACAACAATTGTAACAGGCATTATTCCCAAATGATGTCACTCACAATTTGGGAATTACCTGAATACACGATAATAGGTATTGATTAAAGATAATCGACTGACATGATCAGATATACTAGCATGCATATAACAGTAGTACGACACAGATCAAGACAACAAGATCTTAGTGATTGCATGTGCAGTGAATAAGACCGTTAAGACTTAGTGTTGTGACTGTATACAGAAGATGTAGCCAAGCTACAGTTTTTCGAGAGATTTTGTGTGAGCATCTATGGTCTCTGGAAATGCCGATAAAGTTTTACGTAATTACTTAGTCCTGTTAACCCTCGTCGATTGGCATAGATCGCTCAACAGCATTCTCCACCCATCTCTGTCATGAGCGTTTTATATCGTTTCTCTCCAATTGTTATTCACCCTACTCATGTCTGCTTCCAAATCTCGACGTAGTGTTCGTCGGCCTTCATCTTTTTTAATAATAATAATAATAATAATAATAATAATAATTTACTCTCAAATAACAGTTTGTTACATGAGGCATGCCAGTTTACAGGCAAGATCAAATTGTTACAAATGATACAATACACACTGTAGTAAATTACTCGGCTGGGTTGATAATTTATAAGATATGACTGTAGATGGATTTAGTCAGTATCACAGTTGGCACGCTTCATGAAAGTTGCGTTGCGAATGTGAAATTGATGGTCAAGGATAGGTCCATTGAAGGTGGGAGCTTCTAGAAATCGCAACCTTATGTTTCTTTGGAAAGTCTAAGGCTTTAAGGATGGTGCAGGATGAAGTCACCCGTTCCACATCTCAAGGGTGCTGAAAGAGGGAGCAAGTAAAATAAAATTTTGATAGGTTAAAGAAAATAAGTGTAAACAAGGTATGAGTGGACATACAACTGACAAATGGAGGCGATTCAGAAAGGAGCTGAGAGTATGGGATTATGTGTGGTTATGAAATATAGCGCTAAAAACAGTATTGTGATAAACAATTGGCTATCCTTCTTTTTTTATCGGAGCTATTGGAGCCCTTTTCATTTTTTTGGGTATTATTATTATTTTCTAGGTGTCATAGGGTCGTGAGTGGGCTTCGTATATTAGCGAATTGTCTAGTTTGCTTGTAATAAGATTACTGGGTATGAAGCGAAACCAATTCAACGTTCGTAACACGATTTATTGAGATAGTTTGCATGAATAATGAGCATTAATACCTTACGTTGGTGAAATCCCACTAAACCATAAGGAGCAGTAATTAAACAAAATGTTCTGCCATACAGACATGGGTGGATTGAAGTTATCTCCCCACCATCATGTTTGCTGGTCAGTAACGCCACCCTCTCATCCTTTTGATTGATCCCCATGTTTTAAAGTATGAGCTAGCTTCGTGCTGCATTTTCATGATTTGCTCAATGTGTGTCCCATTCACTTGCAACCTCTTTTCCTAATTTCCTCTTCAAATGGTAGCTGGTTTGTCCTCTCCCACAGTAGGCTGTTGATGATCGTATCCGGTCAACGGACATTCAGTATCTTACGTAGGTCATTGTTTGCAAATACGTATACTACTTTGATGATGAATATCGTAGCCCTCGACGTTTCAGCTCCATACAGTAGAACTGTCTTGAAGTTCGTATTGAAGATTGTGTCTTTGATATTGGTTGACAGACGGTTGATTTGAGTTCCACATGTTCTTCAACTGTAGGAATGTTGCCCTTACTTTTCGAACCCTCACCTTAACATGCTCATCAGGTCCACATTGCTCATCAATGATGCTGACCAGACACGTAAAATTTCAACATCTTTCAGAGTCTCTCCAACAAGTATAGCAAAATAAAAAGCGTCATGCAGCTCATTTCACTGAACCACAAACACACGCAGCGAATTCGAGCAGAAATGCAAGTGTGAGTGATTGCTGACGAGCGAGTTTCTCCATCACGGATGACTCGGTCAGTGTTTTCGATGTTGTAATTCAGGGTCCTGCTTCTACTCTTGTTTGTTGGGGTTAGAGAAATACAAGGAATGATTTAGATGTAAACAAGCTGACATGGCTAGCCAACACATCATTTTACTGTGATATTATAAGTTATTAATTTCGATATCTTAACTAGCAATACACAGAATTTTCAATTCGTACTCCATCAGTCACGCACAGACCAGCATTCAATTTAAACAGAACTTGTTCTGATAACCGTTACCACGTAACTCTTAACAGTGTATGCATTTCTGAGCATAATACGAAGCGTCAAGCAGTTCACTTCACTGAACCACAAACACACACAACGAATTCGAGCAAAAATGCAAGTGTGAGTGAATGCTGACGAGCGAATACACAGCCAAATTAAAAGTCGAGTCAATTGATAAGTTTCAAACATATATAGGGAAGTGAACTATTCATTAAGTGACTTTAGCAGTTAGCATTTAAGCTGGTAAGAGAGATGTATGTGTGAGCTGTCACAATTGATCAAACATACTTGTTCATGCAGACGTGATAATGATGACTATAATACAAAGATATGGACAAATCGTTACTATTCCAATAAAACTGCTTGTTAAACACGTTAATGGAAGCATGTAGTGTCAGTAACCATGTTAAGCCCATATAACTTAGTCTAGCTTCTGTACAGGCCAATTTATCCATTATTCTTGAGTCACGTTTTCGCCTTGTGAATTATTCATTTATCAACCCTATCTGATTTTATATGAGTGTTTATGTGTACATCTTTTCCTACTCATCACATGTCGGTAGTTTATATTTGGGTGAGATGATGTCAAGCTCATGTAAAACAGTGTGCTCTTTACACCGATCAAACATCGATAGAAAACCCTTTCCTGTCACCGGCAACTCGGTATACAAATTAACACCTATCCACCAAAGCATTTACACTGGTAAAACAGAGTGTAAGGCTTTTGTTTGATTCTACGTACATATCCCAAAATTTATCAGTTCAATGGGATAAAAAGCCGTCAGCAGTGTTACTGTTAAATATTTCTAGGACACAGCGCATCAAGGTTTATTGTTAGAGTTCAGGAGAGAGACTGAATTCTTTCAGGATCATCAATCTACAGTCAAATTACATTCGTCTTGAAATCTTGAAAGCCACAGCCTTCAAACGTCTCAAGTCGGATAAATGCATTCGATAGGAAACAGTTGCAAATATGCCTTTATCATGGTGACTTTGTTGTCAGTTTATTACATTTTTCTCCATTCTCTTATTTATATCACTTCTCTCCATTCTGGAATTTTGTATTCCACCTACTGATCTCAATTCATGTTACTCTCAATAGTTAATAATTTATGGTTAACTACCACATTGTAAATTCATTTGACCGTTTCGGTTCCATAATTTCTTGTTTCTATCCCAATCTCCTGATATCGTGTGGACATTTATCAGTTTTTGTGAAATT